TAAGTGAAGTAATATGGGTGGACCTAATCCAGTATGACTGGTGTCATTTTAAGAAGAGGGATATCAGAGATGCATATGCACAAAGAAAAGGCCACATGTAGATACAACAAGCAGGAGGCCATCTTCAAGCCAAGAACAGAGGCCCCAGGAGAAACCAAACCTACTGACACTTCGATCTTGGATTTCCCAGACCCCAGAACTATTCTGTTTAAGCTACCGAATCTATGGTATTTCATTATGGCAGTCCTAGCAAACGATTAAGCTAGGCAATGTGATAACTGCTTTTTGTGAATGATCTCTTTAATCATGGTTACCAAATAAGGAAGGTACTATTGAACAGGGGCTCCCAATAAAATTTGGGCACACAGCAGAAACTCTCCTCAGTATGCTCAGACCTGACCCTGAAAGTAGGCAAGTAGGCTACTCTGGCTGATAAATGGATGAAGTGGGGAGAGAATTAAATGGAGCCACGCATTTTCTTGACATGTGCATCTCTATCCTGATTGTGTTTGTGTTACTCTTTGTTCATTAAATTAAAAGAGAATAGTAATACCCTAATTTACATCAATATAAATTCTTACAAGGGTTTAGTGATTGAACTGATAAGCCCTTCCTGATCATTCACTACTCATTTCTAATTTTGTCCTCTATTTTGGTCTCCCTTGTTAGGAATCACTGGTCTATACCTTGATATCCCAAGTATCGCTACTAGTTTGATGTTTTTGTTTGATATTTTCACTTATAGTTTTGTTTCAAAGAAATAAAGATTTGCTTTCATGGGAGAGCAATACATTAAGCCATTGAAAAAGGTAGTCAATAAATTACCTTCCCATGTGTAGCTAGATGCCAGGGAGCATTTTTTACAGGACAGAGTCTGATGGAAAGAATGACACTGAGAGTGGTCAGGGCCTAGAGGAGGGCTGATTGGGCCACATGGGAGAAAATGGGTAAAAGGCAAGTTGAAAGGAATTGAAGATAATAGGCACTTAGCAGGCTGTGACTTGGCTTCTTCGGGGGGGGCACCTACTGCCTCTCAATAGAAACTGCTGCCTTTATGTTGTCACCCTATTGCGCTTCCAGCCTCACCTGCCAAGGTATGAGACCTGGACCTACCACTTGAGCCATATATGGCTACCTGAACCACCTAATCAAAGACATATTAAGTACCATAACATCCTGGAATTTTATCTGTTAAAACCTAAATAGTTCCCCTAAAATAACACGTGAATGGTTACAAATAAAACTTGATAGCTGCAAATATGGAGGCAAAGAGAAACAAAATGGTCTCAGTCTGCTATTGCTCACAGTCTAGATTAACTGAGCATCACTTTTGTCTTGTTCAAAAGAAAGAATATAGGACAAAGTTATCCATAAATTTCTTAATTGAAGCATTGTTTAGAGTTTTGGGTAGGGGACCTTACATTGAAAATGCTAAAAATACTTCTTAGGCCAGGAGATTTGATTTGAATAGAAGAGATAAGATAAGGCTGAAGGTCACATTATGACTTTGAGAAGACACAGATATGCATTATCTGGGGGAGCCATGCTTTTCAGTAGATTCAGGGACTCCTGTAGTGCTAAGTATAGGCCCCTCTTCTAGGCTGTGACTTAACTGCTGTGGCCCAGGAGACATCAATAAACAGGCCTTCCTTGGAATATCTGCCTGACCCTCTTTTAAGAGCAAACTTCCAAGGACTGCCTCAGCTTCCATCCCTATTTTGTCATCATCTTCAAAAGAGCCTATGTACACAGCAGTGAAGAACCGTCAATAAGAGAGTGTGTGATTTTGTGCTAACTTGCATGTATAGATGAAAGAAGAGAGTAAAATCATGGTATATAGGACTGCTCAGAGGCAGCTTCCTGGGGAAAGAAGAATTTTTGCTTAAGGATAGGTAGAAAAGAGAGAGTGCAGCTAAGGTTCTGTTTTTGTGTGTTACTTTTCACTCATGGCTGCCCTACTGAAACTCCTGGAGATGACTGATGCGAAAAAGGAAAAAGGAAATAAAACAAGGAGCTCAGGCACATAGAAGTCTGAATTAGAGCAGCCAGTCGGGTGTGTGGCGACTTCACCACCTCGAGGGAGGTTGGGAATTATGTGTTTCATCAATAGAACCGAAGTACACCACATATGCCACTGGGCAGAAGCCTTGTTATGCAATAATATCGCCTGCACACTCCCTCCCTCAATTAACAATGCACAGATTGAGGTCACTGTGCAGCTAAAACAAATGTTCATACAACCTGGGTAGAGCTGGTAGGTGATACTTCGATTCTTCACTTTGAGGTTTGAATTGTTTGTTTCTTCAAGTGTATTAATACTTCTGAAATGTTTTAGCCTTTGGCATCTAGATTTGAGCTTCTCCAGATTTTTGCAGTGCACATGATATTGTGGCCTTACACTTCAACTGATATGATGCACCTGTTCCCTAATGCATCTGCTCTGTGCTCATGGACAAGGCCAAAGAATGAACCAGGACTGGGAGTGTCTATGCTTTCTTGATTTGGTTCCACAATGTTTTCTTCTTGCAAAAGGCCAACTGAGAACAAGCTGAGAATGCAGTAGGGAACAGTTATTCCAAAAGTCCTCTGGGAATTTGGAAATTAAATTTTCTACAGATCTTATTCCTCCACCAACTACCAGTATAACTTTGAGCAAGTTATGTAACCTGAAGATAGTCAATACCCACATTTCACCTCTGGGTCTTGATCTGAAAAGCAAAAGGCCTGGGAATGATGATTTTTGTTTTCTTCCAAGATTTGATAATTTGATAATTCCCAAATAGTAAAAGTCAGGCTTTTTAACACTCCCCCCTGACATTTATGTATTCCCCCATATTTATCTGCCTCAAGCCCACTGTCACCACTTATTTTCCCAGATGGGGACCTGCCAGGTTGGTAAAGCCTAGCAGAATTTCTTTAAGAAACTAGACCCAGACACCTGGCCCATGCTCACAGTCTCCTTTCATGTCCTCCCATTCATGTATCCATTCATTCAACAGATGTTTATTGAAGACCTGTTATGTGCTGGGTACTAATCTTTAGAACCTGATCTATGACTTTTTAATCCATTTTCCCTTACTCTCACTTTCTTTGACAAACCAGGCAGACAACAGTATAGGAAATGTATATTTAATCATTCTCTTGAGTGATCAGAACTATAAAATCAAGCTTTCTATAACAAAATGTAACAGAGCCATGATGGGTACAGAGTGCCAGGGAAGCAGCAGTCAACACGTGAAGGATGTGGGTAGGGGGCTGGAAATAAAATATTCTTTCCTATTAAAGCTTTGTTCCTGAGGGCCTCATTTCAAAGGTTTATTGTCCCTGCTTTCAGATTTCTCTGTGTGCTTCAAGGAAGGTATTGCCTTAATTTGAATTTTGAGTAGGCAAGGTTCTGAGATCTAAATTCAGAGTGAGAGAACTTGAGATGGAACTCAAGTAGCTCTCCCACTTTACCTATAGAAAAAAATTGGGGGAAAGGAACTCAGAAGCTCAAACAGCTGCAGATAATACCATCAGAAATTCCCGGTTACCCCACACTGTGTTCTGGCCCTCTGGGCTGAAACAGAAGCCAGAGAGACAGAGGCTGATGCCTATTTTAAAGATCCTTTTCTATTCTGCACGTTGGTTTCTTAACCTCAGCCTGATTGTTGGGCTGGATAATTATTTGTTGTGGGTGGATGTCCTGTACAGGATGTTGAGGAGTGTCCCTGGGTTCTGTTCACTAGATGCTAGTAGCACCCCTCCCTGACAAATCATGACAACTAAATTGTCTTCAAATACTTATAAATCTTCCTGGAGGGTTGCAGAATTGCCCTAGTTGAGTGAGTCTCACTGCTGCAGATGCTGTTGAAAGCTCAGGTCACCACAGTCCATGAGGGCTAGAGAGTAGAGGCCTCAAATCTTGTGATGTTTTAATGCCACATGCAGTCAAGAGGCCTTTCCGAGACCACTCAAGGTTAAACATCATCGTGAGAAATAAAATGGCCTTTGTTTTTAAAAAGAAGGTACTCAGATAATTTAGAAAATGTGCCATCCAATACATTTTTTTATGTTAAAATTACAATCATTTCCCACATTTCTTTAGTATTTGTCAGGTGGAGAGAGATGCCAAGACACTTTTGGAAGCATCATAATGAAAATTGAATCATTTCACCTGTCACTCTGAATTGTGAAGTGGCAGCTGATTAGCAGCTTCCTACTGTTTCCACAAAAGTTTAAATGTGGGTATATTGCAACAGGAACTTCCTGGGAACTTCCTCAGAGCAACATTACAGCAGGAGAACTAAAGATTCTGAGACAAGGGAGCTGCGCCATCCCATTCTCTCACTCCCCAAATGGGGATGGGTAAGGGGAGGTCCCTGAGATGGGGGTTGGGGGATACTCTTGTCTCCACATGCATTTTATTAATACTTGGCAGTCTTAACACACTTCTTTAGTTCAGATTAATTATTTTCCCAACTTTTATTACATGTCTTTGAAGATAGATTTATCTTGTTCATACTAAATCTTCTATGGTTTGCTTTTGGCTTCTTTTTGCTTCTTGATCTTTTATGTTCGCTCCAACCTTTTAGACATGAATTCATTTCCCCGAAGAAATATAAAACTAGGTCATATCTTGTGGTGAAATAGTTCTGCATCTTCCTGGGATTCTGGAAATAACAGCAATAAGATACAATTACAACCATTCAGCAAACATTTATTGAGAGCTGAAAGTCTCCCTGCTGCTGTAGGAGTGTATTTCTTATTCAGGAATGGCCTTGTTTTCTGTATTTTGATGATGTTCTATCAAGGCCACATGGTACCATGGGATGCTAAGGGAAAGGAGAAAAGGCTTGAGTCTCCTCTTCAGGGAGGGGATCATCCTCAGAGCCAATGCTGGGGCTGCCTGACTCTTGCTGGGAACTCAAGCACATGCAGAGCTGATTGCCCACACCACTCATGATCCATCTCACCTGTTGCTCCAATGCCTTTGCATGTTTCTGTGTGGCCAAGGCACATTATTTTAGGTAAAAGGAGAGAGACAGGAGTACCCAGCTGACTGCCAAAGAAGGAGAGACACCCAGGGAAGCCTTTGAGTCCAGCAGCTCTAGGTGACTCCGCCTTTTAATCTCAGAGTCTGTAAAGGGAGAGATAAAAGTTCAGGGTCATAGAGAAGAAGCAGGGTGTCTTCAGTGGTACCCAATTTGGGGCAACTTTGTACCCCAGTCTTTACTTTTCTGTCAGTAGAGGAAAAGCCAAGCTTTCTCTTTTTTCAAAGAAAGTTCTATTCTGCGGTCCAGTCCAGTTAGCACTCAGCCAAATGAAAAACTACACCAATGATGAGATAATTATTGGTTTCCAAATAAAGAATAGGCTGAACAAATAGCCGTGGCCAGTCCTTGGTTTCAGACACATTTCTTCCTCTAGGCAGTGACCTTTACAGGTTCTATGTTATTGACTTTTTTGATATCACTGCACAGTGATGAGAAAATATTGTTCTCAGTTTGAAGTAGAGAAAAGAAGTGAAGAAATTAAATTACTCTTTACTCTATTTTCTCCCTAGACAGTCCAATCCCATTTAGTTCATTTTGGCTCTGACACTTACTAGCTGTGTGACTTTAGTTACTCAATCTATATGTGTTTCAGTTTCTTCATCTATAAGATAGGACTAAAATAATAATCACCCTGGCTGGTGTGGCTCAATGTATTGAGTGCTGGTCTGCAAACCAAAGGGTTGCCGGTTCAATCCCCGGTCAAGGCACATGCCTGGGTTGTGGGTCGAGTCCCCAGGTGGGGGGTGTACGAGAGGCAACTGATCCATGTATCTCTTGCACATTGATGTTTCTCTCCCTCTCTTCCCCTCTCTCTAAAAATAAATAAATAAAATCTTATTTTTTTTAAAAATAGTTTTTTAAAGGAATAATAATCTATGTCACAGGACTCTTATGAGGATTAATGCGTTAATACCTGTAAAGCACTTAGAACAGTGCCTGGCACATAGTAAGCACTCAGTAAGTATTAGCTACAAAAACAGCAGTAGCAGTAACCCTACTCAAGCCTAATAAGCATTGCTTCCATTTAGCTAATCATTTCCAAACCCACCTCCTTATTCTGAACTCTGTCCTGAGTTCCACGCCTGGATCTGCAGTTGCCGCAGTTGCTACTGTATGTGTCAGTTAAAAACATAATTATTCAGTAAATATTTTTAAGCACCTATTGTTCGGGTTCAAAAGAGTTTAATAGCACCCACTTTTCCAGCTGAGTTCTGCATCAATTAAAGAGTAGGACAAAAAGAGTGAGGCAACTGGAAGACCAAAATATCACCTTTGTTACTAATAAACCCAATAAAGGATGCAGCTTTGTCTACAGGGGAGTGAGCGGCAGCCCAGACATCTCCAGGGACAGGCGGCACCGGACTGGGGCAGGCTTCCTCCTGCAGGGTCGATTCTGCCCCTGAAAAACCGATGGCTTGGAGAAGCAGAGTAGAAATTATACTTCCTGAGGGTAGATAGAAAGACGAGAAAAAACGAGGAGCCGAGCTACTTATGTCCGGCTTCTTCTAATAAACTCACTAATGGTATAAATGAGTAATTCCTCCTTCTCTGGTGAGACATAAAAGAGGGGAGAACAGAGAGGCTAGAAGGGTTAAATTGGTGGGAATCTCTTTTCATGGAAGGAAATAGGTGGAATAGGGAGGGAGCACTCTCCCCAAAGCCTGTCATATGCTGGGTCATGTGCTAACCATTGGACATCTCTACCTAGGTAAGCAATGATCACTTTCAACTCAGCATCTCTAAAAACCTCATCTTTTTTCTAAATGTGTTGCTCCTATATTTTAATTGTTTCTTGGTAGTGTTACTAACCTCCTAAGCAACCTGGGTAGAAATAGCATATTCATTTGACTTGCTCTTTCTCTTGCCCTTCACCTTTGTGTCACTAAGGGCTGTAGATTCTTTTCTTTTCTTTTAAGTTTTATGTATTGAGCCCTGGCTGGTGTGGCTCAGTGGATTGAGAACTGGCCTGTGAACCAAAAGGTCACTGGTTCGATTCTCAGTCAGGGTTGTGGGCCAGGTTCCCAGTAGGGGTGCGTGAGAAGCAACCACGCATTGCTGTTTGTCTCCCTCTCTTTTTCTCTCCTTTCCCCTCTGTCTAAAACTAAATACATTTAAAAAAATATTTTATTTATTGATTTGAGAGAGAGAGAGGAAGGGGGTAGGGGGAAGAGAGAGAGAACCATTGATTTGTTGTTCCATTCATTTATGCATTCTTTGGTTGTTTCTTTGGTTCTTGTATGTGCCCTGACTGGGACTGCACTTACAACCTTGCCATAGGAAGGATGGTGCTCTAACCAACTGAGCTACCAGACCAGAGCTTATAGATTATTTTCTTCATTAACTTTTGATTCTTCCCCTTTCTTTCCCATTGCCGCTGCCCCCACTTAGGCCCTCATAATTTCTCCCCTGGACATTGAAATAAGCTCCTGACTCCATGCCTTCCTATTCTATCAAAACCATTCTTCTATTTCAAACCCAGGCTTGAACGCTGCCTCATCTACTGGGCCACTACAGTCGCAGCTAACACCACTTTCCCCCAGGCACCATGTCTGCACTGCAGGTAACTTTCCTGATGATAATAGCACTATTTATCTCAGGATTTATTGGGACTTAAGTATTGCTTTTTGTATATTTGGCACACAGAAACTTGCTGAATGAATGTCCTGAATTGCCCGTATAGTCAGGGAACACAGGATATAAACCCTGCAGCCTCATTTACTTGTTTAAAAACATGTTTGGAGTCCTGGCCTGTGTGGCTCACTTGGTTGGAGCATTGTCCCTTTCACCAAAAAGGCTGAAGGTTCAATTCCCAGTCAGGGCACATGCCTGAGCGGAGGGTTTGGTCCCCAGTTGGGGTGTGTAGGAGAGGTCCGTGATCAGGTTGCATATGAGAGGCAACCAGTCAATGTTTCTCTCCCTCTATCTCTCCCTCCTTCCCCCTCTCTCTAAAATCAAAGAGCATGCCCTCGAGTGAGGATCAAAAAATAATAAATAAAAACACATATGGAGTATGTACTTTGTGCATGGAAAGAAGGAATTGTGTTGTTTTTTTTTAAACTTTGAGCTATGTCATGCTACCAAATGTTGTATTTAGTCTTAGCACTGATACATGGAACACTTGTTCTGATGTATCCAATAAGCATGTATGGAAAGATAATCTGCTAACTGAAAAAAAGTTGTGCTCAATTTCTGTGGTTTATTCAGCTATTGCCCTTTCTATTAGAAGGCATTAGTTATAGAGTTTGAAGCCTTTTATTGAGGTCTAAATTTAGATACTGTAGCTAACACCCATTATTTGAAATGCCTGATGCTTCATTCCCCCTCCTGTTCTGGGAAGGCCTTCCATCAGGTCCCGAGCACCTCACTGGCCTAGGTGCAGGCGGTTGACCCAAGCCGAGCCTTTCTAGAAATGTAGAATAGGACTGAGGGGTTGAAGCTCAGTCTGGTTAGTCTCTTGAATGAAAAAGACTTTTAAAGCTAGGAGCTGTTGGCAACTATAACAAGAGAGAGTAAATTAGAGAGTAAAGAGAGAATAAGATAGAAATGATAGACAAAAAATTCCAATGGAATTTAAGTTCCTGCTGCCAGCTCTTCCTAGAGCTATATTGTACCTAATGCCCTTGGTTCCATGAGACATCCCATTACCCTTTTAATAGTTTACCCTTTTAGCTTAGGCTTGAGCTGGCTTTCTGTTATAGGTAGCTAATAGCATTCTAACCAGTACAGTCACCAATTTGGTCCACAAGATAATGGAGAAGCTCTCTAAGTTTTAAAAAAATATTTTATCTATTTACTTTTAGAGAGAGGGAAAGGGAGGGAGAAAGAGAAGGAGAGAAACATCAATGTGCGAGAGATATATGGATTGGTTGCCTCTCACACGCCACCAACCAGAGACCTGGCCTGCAGCCCAGGCATGTGCCCTGACTGGGAATCAAACCGGCGACCTTTCAGTTTGCAGACTGGTGCTCAATTCACTGAGCCACACCAGCCAAGGCTCTACTTTTTTAATTAAATATTTTTTATTGCAATAAAAAAATACATAACATAAAACTTGCTATCTTAACTATTTTTAAGTCTATTATTCAGGGGTGTTAAGTATATTCATATTGTGAAACAGATCTCCTAAACTTTTTCATCTTGCAAATATGAGACTCTGTATCCTTTAAATGATAACTCTCCTTCCTTTTCTGTTTTCTCCAGCTCCTAGTTACCATCATTCTACTTTCCATTTCTATGAATTTGACTATGCTACGTACCTCATATTAGTGGAATCATACAGTATTTGTTTTTCTGTGACTGGCTTATTTCACCTAGCATAATATCCTGAAAATTTATCCATGTTGTAGCATATGAAAGGATTTCCTTCCTTTCTAAGACTGAATAATATTTCATTTTATGTATATACCACATTTTGTTTATCTGTTCATCTGTTGATAGACATTTTGGGTTGCTTCTTCCTCTTGGCTATTGTGAATAATGCTGCTGTGAACGTGGGTGTGCAAATGTCTCTGGGAGACCTTACTTTCAATTCTTTTGAATATATACATAGAAATGGGATTGCTAGATCATATGGTAGTTCTATTTTTAATTTTCAGAGGAACCTTTATACTGTTTTCTTTTGCGGCTGTTTCATTTTACAGTTTCATCCAACATGCACAAGGGTTCCAGTTTCTCCTCATGCTCACTAATACCTGTGGCTTCCACCTGCATTTCTCTGATTATTAGTGATGCTGAGCATCTTTTTACCTGTCTGTTGGTCAGTTGTATATCTTTTTTGGAGAAATGTCTATTCAAGTCCTCTGCTTGTCTTTTAATCTAATTATTTGACTTCTTTGTCGTTGAGTTGTAGTTCTTATGTATTCTGGATATTAACCACTTATCAGATACATGATTTGCAAATATTTTATCTTGTTCCACAGGCTTTCATATATATAATTTTAAATAAACATAAGCTGATGAAAATATGGTTTATTTAGTTAAATTCAGCAAACATATATAGGGAACTTACAATGTGCAAGATATTCTGTCTGGTGCCATGCTTGGATACGAGACAGCAGTTCTCCTGACCTCCTCCCTCTACTACAGTCTGAATTCAATTTAGCCCCAAGGTGAATGGTTTTAAAAGTCATGATTCAGTCTATGCATTTCCTGGAGGCCAACTCAACCCTAGGTTTTGTATGCACTAAAGCACTGCAGGGAGGCTGGAGTGCTGGGCTCCCTGGGTCCTCGTCTTCTCAGCCTGGGAGACCATTTCAAACTAGAGCTCTCAGGTTAGTGCTGGGCCAGTATTAGTGGGAGCCCAAGTCAGTCCTGGGAGTGCTGAACAGGACCGACGCAGACTCTGAGACCTTTCGTTTTCAGATTGAAAGCCTTCTCAAAGACAGGCTAGACCGAAGCCAGTGTCGGAGGACTTGCCATGTAAATCATTAACTGAATACATCAGAGATGTCAAATAGTTGTCACTTCCCCACTGCTTCACTGAACCAGTCCTAATGAGTGAGACAGGGCCTCAGAATCCCAAATAAACACTGCTCTCCAGGCAGTAAGGAGGCGTATAGGATGAAGCTTAATTGCCATTTTGACCTATTATGCCATTCTTGTCATTTTGTATTAGTCCTCTTCTTATGTAGTGTAATCCCATCTAGAATTGTGATCAAGGTCTCTGTGAAGAAAACTCTAGAGCTTTCTGTGTCCTGGTACATAATATATCTGTTACAGAAATTAGAGTTTAATTGGGATTGGATTCTCGCCTCAATAAACCCATACAAAAAGCATGAAGGAACCCACCTGTCACTTTAATATCCCCTGTGGCTTTGGCAATGTTGTTCTCGATCATGCAGGAGTATGTGTTGTTGATTGTGACATTGTAGAGTACAGATACAACCTTCATGGTCACATTCTCAGAATTCAGCTCAAAGCTGGTATTGGAGACTTCTGAGAAGTTGGTTCTCGGGTCAACTTGGGATGTCCAGACCACTGTAGGCTGGGGGAACCATCGGGGAGCCTCACATCGGAAGCTCTCTGAGCTGGCATTATAGTCCACGTCCATCTCTGGGATGCTGAAGGCTGCAGGGTTGGTCAGAAAGAGCAGATGTCAAGGTCAGAGAGATAAGATAGTATAGCCTTTAAAGTACTAGGTTTTAAAAACACAGTGATTTTTTATCACTGAAGTGACTCAGTATTTCACTTTCCCAGTGGGTTCCCACTGTACTCCAGATGCAAATAATGATTTGCTCATAGTATTGCTGTACATCACAACTCTTCGGCCTATATCATGAACTCCAGAGAGTATAGGTATACTTTAGGTTGTTACAACAGATAAATTTCTCCAAGTAAAGCAAGAGGAGTTCCAGTGATTGCAAAAAAAAAAAAAAAAAAAAAAAAAATGTTGATTCATTAGGGAAATTGGGTATTTTCCCAGGTACCTGCGAAGCTTCCTGTACTTTTTGTATTTTTCTGCCTGGATAGTTAGGGTGGGGAGGGAGAGGGAGAAGGAAGAAACAAAAAGCATTTGCCTGTCACCCAAAGAAATTCCATACACAAGCCTTGTCCTCATGGGGATTTGGAGTTTGCTTGGGTCGAGACTGTCCTGCTATGGTATCCAGGGTTAGAGACAGGCATTTGTTTTCTTCTAAGATAAAATTTTCACTGGGGAGGTAACTGCATTTTGAAATTAAGACTAGTATCTCCCTCTATCTAGGCAGACATACATTTCTAGAAAATGTTAAGGCCTGGACTTTTGACTCCAAACTTGGTAAGATAAAATTTATTAATTTAGTTAGCATCTTCCTTTGCCCAGGACTGTGTTGTTGCTGAGGAGTGAAAGGAAAGCCCTTGCTTTGTCCTTAAAGAGCCTGCTCTCTACAAAGGAGAGGAGGCTCACATGCCTGGAGCAGGCAGGGGACAAGGTCTTGGGAGATTATTTGGGAAACTGAGTGTATGTGGCAATGAACAAAAGTTATTGAGGGTGTGCCCTGTGCTGGGTGCCAAATTCCAGACGTTATTTCATTTGATCCTCACAACAGTCCTAGGGATATTTATTATTGTCCCCATTTTTTTAAAAAAGCTTTTAATTTTGGAATAATTTCAGATTTATAGAAAAGCTGCAAAGATAACAGAGTTATTGTGACTTCTCATCCAGTTTCCCTGATGTTAGCATCTTAAATAACCATGGTGCATTTGTCAAAACTGAGAAACCATTGTTGGTGCTTTACATTAACTACACTCCAGGCTTTATTTGGATTTTACTAGTTTTTCCACTAATGCCCTTTTTCTGTCCCAGGACCCCAGCCAGAATACCACATTGCATTTATTTGTCATGTGCTCTCAGGTTCCTTTGGCCTGCTACAGTTTCTCAGTCTTTCCTTGTTTTTCATGATCTTGACGGTTTTGAGGAGTACTGTTCAGGTATTTTGTAGGATAACCCTCTATTGTAATTTGCCTGATGTTTTCCTAATGATCAGACTGAAGTTATGGGTTTTGGAAAGGAAGACTGTAGAATGTAAAGTGCCCTTCTCATCATATCATATCAGAGAGCGTGTGCTATGGGCATGACTTATCATTGATGTCAACTTTGATCACCTGGCTGAGGCAGCATTTGCCAGGTTTCTTTGGAAGCTGGACTTCACTAAGCCTAAGGGGGAGGGGGAGGGAAAAGTACTAAGCTCCACTTCCTGAAGGGGGAGAGATCTAAACACATGGTTTGGAATTTATTTGTAAAGATTTGTTTCATCTGCCTTGTATTTATAGGTAAGTATGGACTCATCTGTATTTTATGCTTAGAGATATAATTTAATACTATATTGTTTATTTTGTTGCTCAGGTTGTTCCAGTTTTTCCACTGGAAGTCCCTTCAGGTGGCTCCAGTGTCCTTTGACATGGTCATATTAATCCCCAATTCAAAAAGAAGAAACAAGCTGGGGGAGGTTGCCTTGCCCAGGCCACTGTATTAGATGAACTCTGGCTCTAGATCTGTAGTTCATACCTTTGCATACAGATGTTACGAGGCATCCAAAAAGGCCTGTGCAGATTAGCTTAGGCTAAGAGGCCTCAGGATGCTTTCTGCCTTTCCTTCAAGATGTCTCTCAAGTGCCAAATTCTCTCCGTGGGAGCTTTCCTACCCCTTCTATCCCTATGTTTTGGATGTGTTTTCTCTCTTCCTCTGAATCCTCAAATCACTTCATTTATACTTCTCTTAAAGCATTTGATATACTCTACCAAATAGTATAGGTATTTGCATATTTTCCTCATCTCTGCCCCAGCCCTCAAATCTGTAAGCTCCACACTACGAGTTGGGCAAGAGGAGGGACAAATCATCTTTTTACTCCTTATCTATCTGAGTCCCTTGTTCATAAATTCAGAAAACATGTGTTAAATCTAGTTGGTACGAAAGGGTGGATTTCATTGAGGGGAGGATTAATGAGTTTATAGGACGATATTGTTTTGTTTAATTACCTTTGGACTTCTCCTATAATGAGCTCCACTGCCATGTGTCCCTGGTGGTACTGATTCCAGACTTGGGCTAGGGCCTACTTAGCATAGGAAAGTCGCAGGCCAAATTATAGGCTTCTCTTACTCGCAATAGTAGAAGCTACAATAATAAAAGAGACTATACTTATTTTTGCAAAATATTTTAGGGAATATAAGAGAAATTCAGAGGAAGCTAGAGTCCAGAACAACAGCTTTTAAGACCTAATATTATAGCAGGATATTTTTAGAGTTGGTGTGGGTCTTGGACAGCAAGGATGGCTGCTAACAGACTTTGAGGGTCTTGTCTGATACCAGTCACTCCTGAGCATAATGGCATGATATTTCATCAGCTAACCGTACTTTCTAGCCACAAATATCTTTTGGTACTTTCTTTCCCTCTGTCTAAAAATAACTTACCTCCAGTTTTATACTCAAGGTTAGCACTTCCCTTGCCTTTAGAAGTGATGATGTAACATTTATAGGTGCCAGCATCTGTGAGTTGCACATTTTTCAGCCTCAGAGACGCATTTCCTACTCTCACTTGCTCAGCAAACACTGCTGTTCGGCCTCTGAACATTTCATTCTGCTCTGACAGGTCATCTTTGCCATCTTTGAACTCATGGACCAAGCCCATAACACCTTCCTTTAGCCACTGTATCACAATATCAGAAAGTTTGATGTCAGGTTCAAAAGTGCAGCTCAGGATTCCATCCTCTCCGATGTTCCCGGCTGAGGTGAGAGTCGTCACTGTGATGGAGTGAGTCCCTGCAATTCAGGAAGCAGGTGTCAATGCCAAGGGAAGCTTCCCAACATCTACCATTGAACCTTTCATTACCAAAAGCCAAACAGAGACCCCTGTAATAAATTAGAAATATAGAAGAACAGAAGAGGCACAATAAAGAAGACATAAAAATAAAATGGGCAGGAAGAAAATAGTTTTGATAGCTACAGCAGACTTGCCATAAACAATAGCTTTCTGAGACAAACCAACCCAATGCTTGAGAGATAATGAGAGGGGAACATATTGGACTTGGGGTTTAAAGATGAGAATTTAAGTCCTGGCATTGTCACTAGGTATCTGTGTGACCTTGAATGAGTCATGTAACCTCTCTGAATCTCAGAAAAATGGAGGTAATCATATCTGTTTTACCTACATTAGAAGGTTCCTGTGAGGGTCAAATCGAACGATTATGAACTTGATTTGCAAACTGTAATTACACATATAAGGTACTGTGATTCTTAGTCAACCAGAATGGTGCAGAAGTGAAACCTCATGTTAACTAAATGTGACTGGGAATTCTGAAGAATGTTAGATTTTAAAGTGCTGTTACTTTTATCTCTATTTGAATGATGAAGAAACTAAGGCATAGAGAAGATAAGTGACTGGGCCAAGGTTACAGTGCTAGCCATGGCCTAATGGAGGGTGGCACTTAGTTAAATTGTGTTTTTGGCCTAAGATAGAAGACACGCCCTCCTCTGCCGACGTACCACCAGTAGAACGGTAATCACGGTGCCAGCCATATCCATGCCTCTTCCCCACTTGCCCACCCAACAGCCCACTCAGTCTGTGGAGGACTGACCAGCTGCTCTTTCTGCAAACTGGGGGCTGCTGGCTGGGGGCGCCTATGACACTGGCTTAATTAACTGAATCTTCTTGAGAGGCTCCTTCTGGTGTTTGGATGTGAAGCCAAGGAGAGGATGAGTCTTTGAGCCCAAGAGGAGAGTGTGTGTGTGTGTGAGAGGGTAACCATGAAAGAAAAATGAAGAGAGTCCTTCCATCCCCAGAGCTGTCTTAGAGCAGAGCTGCTCTTAGGGTTTTCAGGTGTAGTTCCTGTCCCAAACTCTGAGTACCCTGTAAACAAACACCTTGTATTAAAAAGGTCCCCCCAAACTTGTCTTCCTTACAGCCAAACAGATGGGTGCTGAGCACTTCTCAGCTTCCTCATTGGCATTCCTTCCTCTCACCTTTGCCTCCATCCAATATATTTTACATGCGTTAATCCTACAGGTAGAGCTTAAAGAACAACCTGAACATTTTAGTTTTCTAATCTTTAATTTTCTATGGTTCCCAGGGGCTGTGAAGTAAAGTTCAGACTACCTAGCATGGCTTTCACACCCAAATACTACATGGCATGTAGGAAATCCCCCTACATTGTTCCCTTTACAGCCTCACTCCCTACTGTATTCTTTCATAGTCTTACTGTCTATTCATATCAAGTGATTCATTGATTTCCTGCTTTCAGTGGAAAAGTACATATGCAAAGCATACTTGGTATTTTTCAAATGTAAAAGGTAAACATTATGAACATAAGGATATTATCTCTTGCCTCTTCAACCCTGTAAGGGCCTGGAATTGTCTAATTGGGTCCCAGGCCTTTATAAAGTAAATGAAGGTGATGGATGAGAGACAGACCTGCCTATCCTTCTATCTAAACCAGAAGCTAAACCAGATGGGTTTATATTGGAAAGAACAGAGAGCTACTGATGGAAGAAAAATTATAAGTGAAAAGGGCAGAGGAAACACATGTGCATAGGCAGGGTTGGGAGGACATTAGGAAGCTTTAGCATGTGGAGCAGCTGCCATGCATGGCCATTCATGTGGGAGGTTGGGGAGAGAAATTATGAGAGAGGATGGTATGAAGTTTTGGGTGTAAAATGAGTGCAGCGCACACAACATACCCCACCTTTGGCATTTTCTTGAACACTGCTTTAAAGATTTAATTTGTTTTCAGTTATTTTTTACTTGGCAAACTGATATCCAAGACATCCCAGGCTACTACTGGTTATACAATTATACTATTATTCTCACGCCCGTGTTTATCTAGCACCTACAATTTATAGTTCCCTTCGCTCCTTTATCACCAGTTATTCAAATTCTTCTTATATTCAAGGCTATTTAGATGGCAGCCCCCTGCCCTCATCCCCAGGAAATCCTCGTTTGATCCGCCAAGACAAAATGAATAAATTCTCTCTATTATCCCTGGCCACCTTCCTGTGCCTTTATTACAGCAGCTGTCTCCCTCTACCTTGTTGCCAGTCTCTCTCTGGCACTAAATTGTAAGCTTTTCAAGGGCAGAAACTGTTTTGGTCACATTTATAATTCCTACAATGCTGTGATGATTATTTTATGTGCCACCTATACTGGGTGCTCAGATATTTTGTCAGATATTTTGGGTGGCTCTGTGAGGATGTTTCTGGATGAGATTATATTTGAATGAGTAAATAGAGCGAAGCTGATCACCCTCCTTCTGATGAAAGCCTTAGAGACAGGGCCACCTGGCGCCTGAAGGGACTTCCCAGCCTCTAGAACTGTGAGAGAATACATTTCTGTTGTTTAAATCACCAGGTCTATGTTATCTTGTTATGACAGCCTGCGAAAACTAAGACAAGTGCCTAGTGCTGTGTTTCTACAGAGAAAAATAATATTTGTTGAGTAAATGAACAAATGAATGAATAAATGAATGAATGAATGAAAGTCAGTAGAAATCAAAGGACTGTATAATGGTTCGATCCAAAATGATTATAGGAGTGAGGAATATTTGGGAGGATTACCCCATCTAAATTTTGGGGAAATGTGAGCCAGTGAAAAAAGACGACGATGAAAATACATAGAGATTCTCAGTAAAATCATGGAGCAAATACAACTATATTAGAGCAAGGGTAAATTTAATTGTGGTTTATAAAGTGCCATTAAAGTTGATTTGAAAAATTACTTTGCAGGAAAAATACATAATTAGCACAGTTTATGGAGAGAATGAAATGGTAATGGCATATTTTAGTTTGGTAATTGTGCTACCAAATTAATTGTAATGTGTTGGCCTTGAGCCCACAGGTGGAGGATTTCTTGAAATACCTCTTAAAGAACTTAATGAGTAAAAGTAAGCAGCTGTGAAGTGCCCCAGGGACCCGCTGCAGGCTCTAGTCTAGACCATTTAAGGTTGCATTAAAGATGTGGCAGATGGAATGCGTGTAACATTGATTAAATCCCACCCTCCCTATATCAAATCAAGTGGAGGAATAAAGGCCAGTGAGATCTAAAAAAACACAAGGACCAAGGCATTGCTTTGTACCCAGAAAGCAATCAATAATTACTTATTTGCTAGGTGAATAAATGATTAAAAGTGATAAAATAAAATTTAACCTGCAAGCAACAGCATATACATAGTGCTTCTCACAAAAAAAGAAATCACATAGTACACAAACTTGCAAACAAATATTGGCTCAAGGAGCTATGTTCTAGGAAGCACAGACTGGTCTGATAATGACTCTCCAGGCCTCTTAGCCACCAGGGGCTCTTGTGTGATTTGATGGGTCAACAGTCTCTAGGAGATGAGTTAAAAGCTGCTACCTATCAATAGAGAGTTCTGTTAATTTAATGGGCAGAGACTTTAAGGCTGTCATTGGCCTCTAAGATTCCATCAAACACCTTTAAGGGTGGAAGGCCCAGTCACTTACTGAAGAGGAATTCTCCAGCTTACGAGAGCTACTACCACCCCAGCTCTGGTCTGCAGGGAAAAGAGGAGCTGTCAGAGGGGAGCAAGTAAAATCTGAGCTGTTCTCTCTTCACCCAGGGCACACACCATTTATTCAGTTGTCCTCTGATGTAGGAGCAAGATCTCTTGGAAAGGGAGGTTACTGGTAACACAAGGCAAGGATTCTTTACAGAAACTATGGTTCTGGGATGCCCAACATTGCTGAACAAAACCAAAAACGAACTTTTCATTGAAAGGACTCGGTAAGACGAGTTCTATAGATTTCAGTAGCATAGAGGGCATACTAGAAGCCTTCAGCAGATGGTCACTCAGCATCTTCTGGAACCCAGTTGTCCTGGTGGGCACCAGAGCATGTGGCTTAAAGGTGGAACCATAGAGGCTTAAGCCTACACCAGTGGAGCTTGGGGTGGCACCTGTGAGTGCCAGTCGTGCCAGAGAAGAGGGCAAGGTTGGTGGCAGCAGATACATCTGTGAGAAGAAATTAGAAAGGATGTTGGGCCAGGCTAGATGAAGGAACAAGGAAGGGAAGCAGCAGCAGAGCATAGTGTTTAAGAACAAGGCACAGGTATCAGGCTGTCTGGGTTCAAGTCCCAGCTCTGCCACTTACTGGATATGTGACCTTGGGGAAGTTCTCTAACTTCTTTATTCCGTAGCTTTTTTGCCTATAAAATGGGGATGTTTAATAGTAGCAGTTCCCTCAGAGGGTCCCTGAATGATCTAAAGGATACAAAGCAGGTGAAGAGCTTAATATAGTACCTGACTTGCAATCAATAGTATTGATAACCATTACCAACTAGAATCATTTGGAAAGATTGCAGATCAGAGCACCTGGAGGAAAGAAACAATTTACTAAATGCTTTACTTACAGTGACTCATTTTAAGCCTGATAAGAACCAGAGAGGTAAGAATTATTATACTTTTTGTGAATGAGGACAAAGAGGCTCCATGGGATTAAATGGCTTTCCTAAAGCCCTTTATCTCACAAGTAGTTGAACCAGTATCAAACTCAGTCTTACCTGGTACTAAGCCTGTACTCTTTCTACCATGTTTTGCTGATGTCCAGGGCCAGACTGAGATATATAAGGGCCTACCCACTAAAACAGTATCCCCACCACATATAAAAGTAAAAACAATTAAAAACTATAACACAGGTTTAAGGAAGGCCAATAGCTGTTCTTTCTCAGATGACTATAATTTTTAAAAATATCAAATTTTTTCTAAACAGGTTGCTCAGTGCTCCTGTTTTGGTGCCATAAACACATGACTGATTGGCTTACTGAGGAGACTGTAACTTTTACCCAGTGTCCAGAGATGGACAACGTCTTAGGAGGCTGTATCCTGTGGCTTCCTGCCCTGGCCTCCCTAACTTCAGAGGGGGGCTGCCCTGGTGTGGCCAGGAAATTGTACGAGTTTTAGGAGGTGCTATATGAATGCATTAGTAACAGCAAATTATTAATAGCACCGATGGCATCAATATAAATAATAATGGTAGCCATTCATTACACACATGTATCAGGCACTTTACAAACACTTTGTCATTTAATCCCCACAGCTCCCCTGACTGCTTTATAAGTGAGGACACTGTTTCTGGAAAGTTAAGTTATATCCCAGTGGACACATACAGTTAGTATCAGACCAGAGATTAGAACAGCTCTGTCTGATTCCTAAACTCTCCCACTACACAGAGCTGTTCATAGTCATTGGGAATGATTGATAGCACAGGACTAGATAGGGTCAGGGGTCTTTCCACTGCATTTCCCTCCTCTTGAAGGGTCATCTGGGACGTCAGCACACCCATACTGGAGGAGAGTGACAGAGAAAAAGCAGCTGAAGCTATAAAACTAAAGTTATGAAGTGACAGCTTTGGCCACAGACTAAGTTAAAATAAATGTGCTGGCCTGTGTCAGGCAGCTTAAGGGAAATGGAGCAAAAAACTTGCCCTGCAGAAGACAGCTGCTGGCCCAGCTCACTCAATGTCTTAATTAATGCGGCATCCATAACAGATGCTTTTGAGATAGAGGAGGGGAGAGAAGACTGTTCCTTGCAACTGACATCAGTTAGCTGACATCTGTGCCACAGCGGCCTCTGTTTTCTACATGGAGCAGTAGTCACAGCCAGTATTCTCTTCATCTAAGACCCCTGTGTACAAAGACTTGATATTCTTAAATGCTGCGGCTGAAGATTCACTGCAAAGGAATCATCTGCCCAGGTCAACCGTTGATAGGATGGCTGAGCCACAGCACTTTACCTGTGCTCCCAGAATATCTACAGCACTGTCAGGGAGAACACGCTGACAAACATTCCACTTGATCCTCTCAAATATCTGGTGATACAGCATTTCCTCCACTCGATAAATGAGGAAATAGGCCTGCAGAGTTCAGTGACTAATGTGAAGAGAATACAGTCAATAAGTAGGAGAACCAGTGCCCTACTGCGAGGCTTTCTGGATCCACGACCTGTGCTCTTTCCCTCCCTCCACACCGAGTGATTGGGGGCTTAATGGTGAGAGGTGAATGGATTGTGGTAATGCAAGAAGTCACATACCTGAAATGCCAAAACCGATGATAAGTGCAATTGCTCCCGCCAAAATAATGATGATGCTAATAATGCTGTGGAGGGATAGAGAAACAGGAAATTACTTCATTCCACTTGACTCGGTGCTTTTCAACCTGCGCTCATATGTGTCATTTGTAAGAGGTGCTACATAAAGCACCTCAACTTTCTCTTCCACATAAGCCATTTCCTAGATATAGGCACCTTAGAAAGGAATAAATGATTCTATCCCCGCCCCTCTGGGGCACTGAGGTGGGCTGAAGGAGAGGCCCTTTTATTTGACTGTATGTGTCATCTTGCTTTCCTATTTCCAGACCAGGGAGGACCACACACAAAGGCTGTTGGGGCAAAACTAATGAGATCTCTGTAATGCCAGGTGCCAATTAAGGGCCACTGGTTCCATACTCAGCCCACCCTGAGCATTACTGCCCACCCCTCTTATATCATTAACCTACCTGTTTTATCTCCTCCCACAGACTTTAAACTCCACTAAGGACAATGGTCTTTTTTCCTTTGTACCTACTCATGCCTAGTCCACTGCACCCCATAGATCCTCAACAGGAGCTTATTTTTTCTTACTAAAACAGTAATGTGCATTTATTACAAAAAGTTTAAAAAATAAAAATAAGCAAATATTCCATCAACCAGACATAACCACTGTTAACTTCTTAATATGTATCCTGCTAGTGTTCAATGAACAGATTAACCAATGATATGAGGGAAGTAAACGCGGAAGTACTGTTTACATTTCTCGAGTGCTAGAATTATGCAGCAGACCTGTTCTAGGCACCATTTATGGATTCTGTCGTTTATCCATGAGATAGCCTTATGAGGCAAACAAAGTTATCATCTCCGTGTTAAAGATGCGAAAATGACCGGGAGTTTAAGCACCTTCCCTAAACTCACACAGTTGGTAGTTGGCAGAGCTGGGATTAGAATCTGCCTCTGAGATTAGAATCTGCCCGTGACTACTTCCTCTGCTGCGTCCCAAGGGTGGGGGCCCACTAATGGGGTGTGTCTCTCCTCCCTGTCCTGGGGAGCCCCAGCGTTGCCAGCTTTAGCTTTGAGAGTGACCAAGGCGGAGCAGAAGGTGCAGGTCAGAGCTGGTGCATTGCAGAGAGGTTCCTGGGAAGCTCACCCGCTGCTGCCTGCCCAGGTTCGTAAGTCATCAGGCCGGTGTCCCTGGCCATTGTCTTGTTGTTGGCAAGCCACTCGCTGTCCACACCCACACTGGTTACTCAATATGCAGGACAAAAGAAAGGCACAGGGAGGCAAAGAATGGTGGTACAGAGAGAGAGGGAAGCACGGGCATTTTACCTTCTGTCCTGAATAGGTTCATTGTCCCCAGCTCCCATTGGCTCAGGGATGGGCCCACCAGGGAGAAACAATAGACTTACAAGGAACAGTTTGAGTAACTGGTTCCCCTGGAGGCCAAGCCCTTCATGAGGTACAGGCATAGGGTCAGCAACTGAATGAGCAGAATGAACCTTTTAATAATAGGGCATCTGCAATTGATTCCAAGAGGAGATCACATCGGACTGCTTCTCTATTTACTCACCTCAGTGCAGCCTCCATTCTTACTGGTCCAAGTGCGTGAGAACAGCAGAAAAACTCATAGCAAGAGGCACTGTCTCGCTCTCTCAAACCACTGAGTCAGACGGTAGGTGTGCCTTTGTGAACCAGGAATTCACTTACCTTGGGGGAAATAACGCCAACTCTCTGAGACTCAGTTTCTTTATCTTTAAAATGGGAGTGATAGTAATTCCAGCTTAACTGCTATAAAGGGTTGAAGTGTGTGTCCCCCAAAATTCATATTTTGATGTCTTGACTCCCAGTACCTTAAAAACTGACTCTAGGTTTGTTGCCAAAGATTGCCAGCAAGCCCCCAGAAGCCAGGGGACAGGCATGGGACAGATTCCTCCTCACGTCTCCCTTAGACAGAACCAACCCCGCTGACCCCTGGACTGCTGGTCTCCAGAGCTGTGAGACAATAAACTTGCTGTTCCAGGTTCTCCAGCCACCCAGGTTCTGCTACTTTGTTAAGCAGCCCCAGCAAACTAATACAAAAGGGTTGTTTTAAGATCAAATGAATTATTTCACAATGAATGTTGCATAGTCCATAAAGGGCTATTTGTGTATTACGTTTTACTATTAAAAAAGGTTAGTTGCAGCTATCTGCTCTAAAATTTATTATTAAAAGCTAATGACTTAAATCTGGAGAATAATCCTACTGATAATGAAAATATAGTATTTTGATACAATAAAATAGCATGTACCAGCCTTGGTGCTAAGTGTTCCATGTGCTTGTTCACACTTGTTTGAATTATCAAGTCCTGTTACCCCCTTGATTTCTCTCGTACCCTTGCACTGCTCCTGGTCACCAGCTTTATTACAGCACCCTCCTCAGTCACCCCTGCTTCCAGTCTGGACCTCTCTAACCCACGACTGTTCACACTGCCAGAATCAGTGGTGATTTCAGAATTTCTACGTAACAGTGGCTTAGGGGAGACAACCCGGTTGAAGGTGGGAAACAGGGTGGTCACTGAGGCAGCGTAATGCTGTGATCACAAGCATGTTTTCGGGACCCAGCCTGCATAGGTTCAAGTCCCAGCACCACCACTCACTAGTTGTGTGACCTTAAACTTCCCATTATGTGAAGAATGAGTTAACATATTTTTAAAAAATCACTTAGAATAGTGCCTGACACATAGGATGCTTCAATAAGTATTAGCTATTCTCGTTCTTGTTTTTCTGCTATGCTTACATAACAATCACATGTTTCTAACTTGGAATGTATGTTTGCTTGGTGGTACTGATAGATATTATGTGGCTACTGAGCTATTGGCAAGAATGGTTACAAAATTGATCAGAGTAGTGCTCATAATAGTCCGAAAACTTCCAGTGCATTTTCGTCTTCCTCACCATAAGAATCTACTCTGTGTTGGAGCGTACAGGGCCTTTGAAAGGGGTTCTCATCCTCTGTCCCCAGCCTCATCTCTCTGCACATTTCCCCTGGGACCCTGCACTCCAGTCACATTGAATCATCATAGATCCTGCCCCTCCCCCCCATGGATAGGCCACCCCCTACCCTCTCTCAGTAGGGAGCTGGACAGCAAAGTCATGGAACAGATGCCCGCACAGTCCCCAGTAGGACCCGGACACTGGACACTGGGCGTTCTGGTCACATCTCCCTTGCCTCCAGGCCCACATGCTCCCCTGCTCCAGAAGCAAGGTCCCTGTCCAAGCAAGAGTCACCTTGAGGTGTGTTCTGAACTGGTGTTCCCTCAGGAAACAGCTCAACTTCCAGAGCCTTGGAAGGCGAAGCAGGAACTTTCAGAACAGCCAAATTAAATAATTCCTGTCTGCTGCGTATTAATTATTTAAAAGAATGAATAAAATATTTCACACAAGATGTTCTTACATTGCTTTTTGGTTTTTACTTCCCCAGCATAATTTCCAATAACTATGCTACAGGGAATTTTTAATGCAAAACTGTGTCTTCTAACCACTGCATTGGAATTCACAGTGCACAGTTGTTACTCCTTACAGAAGGGCCCAGGTGCAAGTCAGTGCTTTTGGAGGATTTGTTCATTTAGCAAATATTTATTAAGTGCTTACTATGTGAAAGACATTGGGTTAGGCAAATGGAGGAAATACAGAGGGAAAGAAAGCAGAGTGCTGGCCTCAAGGACCTGTAGTCTAATGGAGGTCAAACACACACACACACACACACACACACACACACAGAGTGAGCATACACAAACACACATGCACATGCATGCACACTCTAATAACACAAGACAATGTGGTCAGGGCTTCAGGAAAGAGAGGAACACATTCTCACAGGAATTCTAGGTTTGTAGCAAGAAGTTAAATCCGAGAGGATTAATGAGACTCAAAGAGCATTTCCATGAACAAGTTTCAAAGAAAGTAAAGAGAAAGGCTTTATTCAGGAATATATTTAGCTAATTCATGCTGCTCCACACGCTCTCTCCAAAGCAGAAACACAGAGAAAAGCAGTTATTTCTGCAGCACTGGATGGGGTCGGGACCCAAGCATCACATGTTAGTGCTCCAGTCTGGGAAAAGGTGCTGGGGAACTCAAACCCTTCCAGGGAGGGGCCATCCTCCAGCCTGGGGCTCAGCCAAACTCATCCAAACTACCCATGGATGGCCTTGCTTTCTTCCTTTACATGTCTTTGTTCTTGCTGCTTCTGCTTTCTGGAGCACTTGAAAGAAATTAGGCATTTCTGTTAAATGATATATTGTGCTCCTGAAAAACCGCACATTCTATAAAATTGCACAATAAAGTAACAGGGTTTATGGGGAAAAATTAGGTTAAGGGCAGACCACTGAAAACCTACGTGACTGTGTAAAAAGTCTCTAACAAACAATAACTGGCACCTTGGGAGATAACTTGGATGGCTCAAGCAGGCAGTCCAGTAGGGCCAGGCGCCGCTTTGTGGGGTATTACAAATGCACAAAAATGACAGAGCAGAAACTCTGACTCAGGGCGCTGTGAGCCAGGGAGGCTGCCGTGAAGGCGGGTACGGAGGGAAGTCGAAGCTGGGATGTGCAAAGCCAGGATGTGCTGCTCTGGGGAGAGTGCTCCAAATGCAGCTGCTCAGTTAAAATGTAAAGAAAAAAGAACTGAAAGCCACAGTAAGCCCTTCCCACTCAAGCTATCATTCTCCTCTGCTATTTCTGCACCCCTTGCCTTTGGAAAAACGTGTGTGAATCAACACCACTTCCATGATATAACTGTCAGTGTTCCTCTACTTCCCAACCATGTATGAGCTAATTGGTGCTATAGAAACACATACTGCGGCAGACAGACTATATTACTGAATTACTAGACATAAGCTAGGTAGAGATTTTTATCTTTTAAAGACAAGCTTTCATTGTATCTGAGGTCCATGATGGTGATAAAACGGAAAAAGCTAATGCTTATCGGGCACATTCTGTATGCCAATGCTATACATGTAGTGCCTTGTTCATTCCTTACAACAATGCTGTGAGGTAGAAAGTACCACTGTTACTGCCTTTTTACAGGCAGG